CTCTCTCTCTCTCTCTCTCTCTCTCTCTCTCTCTCTCTCTCTCTCTTGTGTCATTGCCGTGTCCTTTCACTGGAGGGCGCTGTGACATCAGTTCCACCGTAACAAGAGCACAGCTGCACATCATTGTTGTTTTCCACATCTGTAATTTCCCTCAGGGTGAGTTTTATTAGTTTTCAGTCATCCAGGTCGGGTGATACAGCGTTTAGCAGCTGAACAACAAGAGCGGTCTGATTTGCTTTGTGAGATCTGCTGAAAGATGGAGATTTTGCTGGCGCAGCAGAGCCACACCCTCACGTGAAAGTCCATCCGTCAGTGTCAAACTGGAACAACCAGAGCCGGAGGGCTCGATATAATCCCCGTCTGCAACACTGTGAAAACAATACTCCCCGGACCTGATTTACTTGACTCTCACGTTACTTCTAAAACTTTCACTTGTTCCTTCCACACATTGTGAAACAGAAAAAAATAGTTAAACCTTAAATTTCCATAAAATACACTTTCATGAAGAAAGTGGTCAGTATGTAGATCCATGTTTAGTATTTAGATAACAAATTATGTAGCAGTCTGGTCTCAATAATTTATCTCTAATCCTTGTTTCTGATATATTCATGAACTATTATTGTTATTTTCTTACACTTTTGGTAAATATTCAGAACCTTGTGTATGTTTAAGATTCCCCACTGTTTATTTTTTTTGCCTTTTTTGCTCTTGACCCAGCTTTACATATTTACTGGTCAATTCCTGCAAGTTGCTTCACTGCATTCAGCCCCCATGAAGCATCGCTGGTGGAGGAAGCGCAACAATATCACATCACATTCCAATATTTTATATTTTTGTTACGTTTAATTTAAGGAGAGGAATAAAGTTTACGCTCTCTCCTTTCATGCACAAGCTGAGTCCATTTTTTCATCATCTTTTGTTTTTGTCTGCAGCACGTGTGGAGCGAGAGTGAGGACTGCCTTCCCTTCCTACAGTTGGCCCAGGACTACATCTCCTCCTGCGGGAAGAAGACCCTGCTGGAGGTGCTGGAGAAGGTCTTCACATCCTTCAGGCCTGTACGGGAACAAACTGTTTTCTTTTTAACATGCCGCACCAAATCACAGCACAGTGACCCCTGCTCACTGTTTCTTGGGTCCGTTACAATCCCGATACATTCTGTTCTCTCTGGTGAGGACAAAACATGTTGAGCTCTACCCAGAGTTATGACATTTTAATGTTGCCTTGCTTATCGGCAAATGTTACAAAACAAGAGCAGGATATAAAGCATGATTCAAAGCTTTTTGTTTTTTTATGAATTCATTGAATAGTCCTGCTATTTGACATGTAAGAGTACTTGATTTGCTCTGCTCGACAAGTTTCTTCTTGGTGAATAGGAATAAGTTAGAATGAAAACAATAATTAAAGATTTTTTAAAAATTAAACTATGTGGTACTTGGTCCACTGTGTGGACAGAAATGAATTGTGTTTTACACACACATACTGTACACACACATATCTTCATGTTACAACCTGTGTAACTCAACCTTCTCCTTTTACCCCGTTAGCTGCTGGGTCTGCCAGACATAGAAGACGACAGTTTTGAGCATTACCACGCCGACATGGAGGGGGAACCGGGGCCCGACCACCAGCAGATGGGGGTCAGCCAGCAGTGATTCGCCCCCGGGACGAGGCCTGCGGCTGTGGGGCAGAGCTGCTCAGAAGCTCTGGGCCTCATCGACCAATCAGACCAAACACTTAACAACACACACATACTTACGGCCAACTCGCTAAAAATGCACCACCATGTTCTTGAATGTCTCAGTGGCTTTGCTTCCCAAAGAGTGCACTCTGTTGCACTGTGTTGACCCCCGCCCCCCCTCCCCCAACCAAACAAACACACACACACACACACACACACATTGGGGCTATGTGAGCCGTACCATGTACAATCTGGTTAGTTAAAGTTCCACAGCACAGCAATATTACATCAGCCTCAGCTGGCTTTGTTATGCAGAAAAACAGTCAGATGTTACCGCAATTCACCCCCCCCCCCCCCCCCCCCCGCCGTGGCTTTGGAGATGAATGTGACGGATAACCTACTTCCTCAGCCTGTCTGTTGAAACAGATGATACACGAGAGCTAGTTTAAAGACAAATAGGTGAAAACTGACGGTTTGTGGCCACGTGAGGCAACTGGAGTGTCGCAGATAAAGAGAGGGAAGGAAGGCGGGTGAAGCGGCGTAAAGTTTTCCACTTCACGGAGGGAACTGAGGGACGTATAGCTGTGACGTATAGATTCAGATGGGGAAGCTCTCAAACTATCCAGTTTCAAACACACGGTTGAAATAGTCTAGTGGAGGTTATAATCAAAAGCATTTTACACCTCACATGGAAATCAAAGTGTGCAGCTTTACAGTAGCATGGATCATTTCTTGAGGTGCGTCTCTTGATGTTTCTATAAGGCAGTGCACCTCAAAGAGTTAAAAGTCACTAAATGAGGTCGTTTTTAATCAATGTTACTATCATATGACCATCAAAACAAAGGCCCATGCTGCAGCTTAAGGCCTTCCCGTTTTGGGTGTCTCATTGTCACATGACACCTTAGTTCTTCTGTCCCGTCGTCTTCCTGGTTGTTGGTGGTTCGCAGTTTTTCCTCCTTTCTCAGCACAATCTAATGAGATACCTTCCCAGATCTACAAAAAAGTTGATGTTTTCAATTTACCGGCGCCTTTCGAGGTTTCTCTTAACCATAACCATAATTGAATACGTGCACACGCAAAATCCCTGAGTGAAATCACAGAGGGGAGAGAAATATTTAATGACGGCCACCCTTTCGCCTGCCCTGTTATCTCTAATCTCAGTGTGTTGTTGTATGTCACATCCAGTGCACTGCAATGCTTCATGCCTTCAACCACTCGATCCACCCACAAGCAAGACTGTTTCAGAAGTTTCTCTTCAGCCTGTTTACTTTGGCTTGTAAATGTTTGTCTTTTTATTGCCTATTTGAATGTTTCTCATGCGGTGTATCTTCTGTTTGTCCTCCGATGTGTGTGAAATTGTTCAATAAACCGTGTGAACTGAGCGTTCCTCGTGCGTATGTCTTCTTTCTGTTACATGGCCTGAAGTTAATGCAACACAAAGCGCAAAACATGGAGGGCTTTTCATATCTCAGACTGGTGACCTGCTGCCAGCAGCCCCGCTGGTGTTGCTGGGATTGACGTCACGTTCCGCCTGACGCGCCCACTCCGAAGCTCGAGGCAAGAATGGAACTGCAGACAGGAAGCTATGGCTTGGCCTTCAAAGTAAAATCCCAAAAGATGTCTATTAATGAAGTTTTCCGTACAGTTCAGAGAGAAATGTATTTTGTTACTGCTTTTGAGACTAGTTACTTTCCATATCAAGATACAAAATATATGAACAGTTTATGAAATGTATTAAACCGTATATACAATCTATGGATTAAACAACATAAGTGTATGATGCAGTTAAAATGAGCTTCACCTCTACCAATGACATTTAAGTACCGTTTGTTAATGCAACAATATAATGATTCAACAACACATGGCAAACGCAGATAAATGCTGCTTTAGTCCAATTCTATATTACAGTAACTTCCAGTTTGTCATGTTTTTTTCCATACTGTAAGTGGTGCGGTCACCACTTTTACTTTGAAGGCACTTTATGTTATCCTGGTGAACTTTGGGTGGTTTGACGGAGCTGCCTCGCAGAGAGGAGTGCAATCCCTGCTTTTATTTTTCTTTCCAGACGGCCACAGTTGAGCACAAAAACAAACTTGAACCAGACGAGCTGTGAGTCAACACTTGCGCAAATGTCCTCGTCTGAGGTGGAGAAACCCACTACTTTTATCTGAAGAGATTTGATCTTTTTATTTTTCCATTGTTGGAAAAGGGGAAGGGCTCTGCCAAGAAAAAAAAGCAACCATTTGGAATTATGTTGTGCTTTCAGAAAGTGCGCACTTTACGCACAAGGCGCACCATGAAACTTTGAGATGTTGGATCACCTTGTCTTTGTTGTTGTTCGCGTGTTAGGCTTTATTTCCTTTGTTGGTGTCAGTTCTTCAGAACTCACTGTAACCATGTGTCGTGGCTAAATACTTTAAAGCGCGCACACATACTCACTCACTCACAAAAACTCGAGACAGCATGGGGGCCAAACAGAGCAGCCCTGTATTTGATGGCAGAACTCGGGCTTATTCCAGCTCCGATCTCCCATCTGGAAACTCGAGCGGAGGGGGGCGGATTGCGGGGTTTAGGTACACCAATGGACCAGATGGCCCCCGGATCCGTTACACAGGTGGAGGGCCAACCAGCTCCGGTCTCAATATTCCGGCTGGCGTCAGGTCAGGGTCCCACGTACTCAGTCAGAGCCTCGATGGCACGGATGGTGACGAGGAGAGCGAGCTGCCGCCTGAGGGCCACAGGTTGCTTATAGGGTCCCTACCGACCCACCTGTCCCCTCATCTGCTGGGAGGTAAGATTGTTTACTAGAAACTAAAACCAGTTACTCCATAAAACATCTGGAAAGAAGTCAGTCACATTCATACCAGTAATATGTTATTGCTCTGTGCCTTTAATAATTATTTTCATCTTCTGATTTCCTTATTCTAATATTTATTGTGTGTTTGTTGTTTTTAGTACACTGTGTAGTTTCCTTATCTTACCCAAGGGACTTTTTTTTCATCTCATTTGGCATACCTGTAACATTTCTGGTCTTATTACAGTGTTTATGGCACACAGTATGAGTTTAGAGTCAACATGTCAGTTCATGTTCAAGATATCATGAGCTATAGGCTACCCATTACTGTCAAAGTTGCTTAGTATTTTTCCATTTGACACATGATACCTGGCATATGGTAATAGCAGTCTGATGACTGACTGAGGCCTTTGTTTAGCACTTCTGCACTTTTATTGTAGCCACAGGTGGCTCTGCAGTACTTCACTGTCTTCTTTTGCTTTTCTGTCTTGCAAAACATGGCCTGTTTTTCTCTTCGACTGAGAGGGAAGAGTGCATTATGTAGGTCAGCAGATAAAAGCTTCCTGCTGGTTACACATTGCCTGAAACACATGTGCACCAACACATACACACACACTTCCTGAATGTGCAAATCTAGATGTTTGTTAACTGGTCGGTTTTCTCCAGACCAAAACAAGACCTAAACTAATAGGACTGTCACGGCGCTCCAACATACATGTCATTAGAATACTCAATGTTACAGTGTTTCCTGAATCCTCATTGCTGTTGTAAATGCTCCAATTTCCTCATCTTGCTTAACATGGTCAATAAAAAAACGGCAGGATTTTCACCTCCCTCTAATTTCCTCTAAATTCCCAGATGAGGAAGTGTAATCATTAAGAACCTCTTCAATAACCTTTGCACATCAGATCCATGTGATTGTTACCCTGCAGGCCTGACATTGTGCCCACAGGATTATCCTCGCTTACAAACGCATGACACAACACACGCATGAGCTGCACACCAGACACAGAGATAATAACTGCCTGCATATATAATGCATTTGTTGTTATTCTCTCGACCGAGGTGTTATAATGTTAGACAGAATGTTGGCTTATCTCAGGTCAAGCAGCGCCTGGCTTATCAATATTTATGCAGCTGAGAAGATGCACAGAGGGGGGAACTAATACATGACTGTGTACATTTCATACATGCAGTGCATAAAGTTGTTTACAGCACACAGAGAGCTAGCAAGTGCACAGAGGTGAAACACCATGCAGGTCTATGTAAGATCAAACTCATGCTAAGTGTCCCACGCCCTCTGTTGTGTACATATCAATAAAAAGTAATGAGGGAGAAGTTGGCACATCTCTGTCCTCATGTTCTTGCCTTTGTGCTTTCCTCCGCAGGCTTCCACTGTCCTGTTTGCTCCAAGTTTATGGCATCGGATGAAATAGAGAAGCACCTGCTCATGTGTTTCAGCAAAACGCGTCTCACCTACAACAGTAAGAAATCAGGGGTGAAAGTGCAAGAGGGCACGGGATGTTCTTAAAGTTAAAGGATTTGGTATTAGTGTTTGGCCACAGCTACCATGTTAATCTGTTATTCTCCATTACAAGTGAAGGAGTAGAAATCTAATCAAGTACATGTACTTATTTACATTCAACCATTGCCTCTGTGCTCCCTTCCTTAGTCAGTGGTATGCCATATTGGTTCTACAACTGGATCATGAGGATGATCATGAATTAATATACAAAGTCTTGCATTGAAAGATTAATAGATAGACTACTAACGTTTTTTTTTGTTTTTTTTTCAAGAACTCATTAGCCACAGAAATACACCTACATTATGCAATGTAGCATGCTGATGCGCAGCTGCACATCTACACACCCACCTATATGTATTCGACTGTTAGCTTCCTGCTGGTAACACACACACACTGGAAAAGGCAAACACATTTTGTCTGTTGACATACAGCTGTCACTATATGTATGAAAACAAGAGTAAAGATCGCTCGTCTTTAAATGTTGATGCATGCACGAAGGCCTGCGCACACACCCGCGGCAGCATACATATTACTGACAAATGTACAGTACATGCAGCTCACGGACTCAGTGTGTCGTAGCTCATCAGAGGCATACGTATGTGTAAAACCTATACGATCATCCCTTTATCATTCACCTCACCCATGCAAATATTTTCACAAGCGCATTCTATCTTACCTGTCCTTCATTTTAAAATGAGCACATGAAAAGCTACAAAGAGTTCTAGTTACTGCTTCGCCTCAGGTATTGACACCTGTCATAGCTTAATATACAGGTAAACATGTGACGCAAAAGAAAATGTCATCCTACCTGTTATTGAAATATACCATCAAGCTATTATACAAAGAGGATAGTAAAAACTAAACTATATTCCAAATAACAGAACCTATTCCCACTGGAGACGGCATAATTTACTGAAGAGGGATACCAGTTCTCATCAGGGCACAGATGATAACGGGTGTTCTGGTACTAAAGGTTAAACGGATGGTTGTGCAGGATTCAGTGACTGAACTGAACATCTGATGCATGGTTTGGTGTGCGAGGCTGCTCTTCCCTCAGTTTGTCTCAATCCGTATTGTCTTTCTCAGAGGACATCCTGTCCAGAGACTCTGGGGAATGTGCCATCTGTTTAGATGAGCTGGAGCAGGGAGACACCATTGCCAGGCTGCCCTGCCTCTGTATCTATCATAAAGGGTAACTAACACACACACACAAACACGCAATAACAAACAGATTGCGGTTGGAAATAGTTTGACAAATGCACCAAGTGTAAACAGTCACGATTTCCAAAGGCAGCCTAAGCTTCATTGTTAGAACACAAACATCAGAGTGGTATCAGTCTCTCACTCACAATGTCAGATTGTTCCAGTAATACAGATGTTACTAGAATGTCAATACCAATGCAAGAACCATAGACTGCATGTTAAAAGTAGAACTAGTCACCGTTATGTAACCCACTGGTTTGTGGACCAGGGTTTTGGGGTCTTGCGTTTAATATTTTAGCCCTCCCCATCGTGGATTTTGGTCTACACCGTTTTGGTTTTTGTAACCAGAAGTGACACAAGAGGGTGGAGCTAAGTACAACCGAATGTTGAATAAGACATTTTTAGGCAACCAAAGATGATCCAATTAACTTTCATGAACTGAAAACATACTGTGAAAGAGTTAAACTTCTTCACCTTTTAGACCCGGAGGTTGCTGTCTTGCAAAAGAGCCAATTTGCAATGTTGTGCAAGGCACTGACCGATATATCTAATCATTTTGTAAAAATTACAATAATGAAAAGACAGGTGGATGGAGAGGCAGTGAAACAAAGTGTTTATTGACAATTTAAAAGTTTATAATTATAAAAGAAGAAAAAAAACACTTGTTCATATATGAAATATAAATAAATAATATGAATACGGTTATTCACTGTTTTGCTGAGAGTATCAAGAGAGGATCAACACCACTCTCATGTCTTTATGCTGAATGTGAAGCTACCACCAACATCTGGTAAGTTTAGCTCAGCAGAAAGGGGAAACAGCTCCGTTCATTCGTAACAAAATCAGTAAAACAAGATATAACACGTTAGTCAGTCAGCTTTAAAGCTGCTGGTCGGCCAGTTGTGTTACCTTTTGGAGGCAGCCAGGCTATAGCTGTTTCCCCCTGTTTCCATTCTTTAGGCTAAGCCAAGCTAACCTGTGCCGCTCATGGTAAACCTTTAAACAGACTGATATGAGTGTGGTATCAACCTTCTCATCAATCCCTCAGCAAGAAAGCAAATAGGCGCAGCAAGAGGCCACAAATATAATATCACTAATATCAGTTTGTGAATGAAACATACACATTGCCATCCGGGTAGTTAGATCATTTATAAAATAAGAGATAATTTGACCAAATAAATAGAGATTTCTATTGTGATTATTCGAGCTAAATGTAATTCAGCTCCTTTGATCACAGGAGACGAACCTCCCTGTTGTCTTCCTCTTCCTGTTTCAGGTGTATAGACGAGTGGTTTGAGGTGAATCGCTCGTGTCCGGAGCATCCCGCCGACTAGGAGCTGCAGGAGTACAGTTTCAGTCTGCTGTACATCACTGTGGTGGACTGTGCGCCCTGATCTCATCACAACACCGTCTGTTCCAGCCGAGCATCAGCGCTCCTCAGGGATTGTAAGACATTGTTGTGAACAGAATTTTTCATATTGCCTCATGGAATAGTGATGTACTTTGGATATGTTTCTCTAGACATCGTGGGATGTTCAAAGAACCACTGGTTGAGTAATTTTATCTCCAGAAAATATGTGAATGTTCCTTATGCCAAATTCTGGCCTAAAGTGGGTTAATGAAACCTGGGATCTGAACCATTTAACTGAACAGGGTGTGGTTTTATATCAGAGGACTTGTGTAACCAACATGGTGCGAGGATTACGGCTCTTTTCAGCAGAGATTTAAATTGAGAGACTGTTCAGACTTGATCAGAAGGCTGAAGGCTGATATTGTGCAATGTAAAAAAAAAAACAGCCATTCAGATTTAGAAATGCCTTTTTTCAGCTTTAAGGGATGATTACAGTGTTGATCGTAGTTAGGATGTAGATCTTAATTTGATCGTGAAATTGGCAAAATCACTCTTTTGTTAAACAATCATGTGTCCTCGACCAAATAGTCTAATGTGAAATAGTCTTTGTTAATCATTTGTCCGTTCAGAACCACAGTAATGTGATCGTGTAGTTTAGTGGTGGAATCAGAGATAAAACATATCTAATAATGATTCATACTCTAAGGAGTGTCTTAATATGCTGCTATGTCATAGACTGGAATGTTTTCCTATAACCTTTGAACCTTTGTTTATTGTTCTTTCTATTTGTACTGTAAGGTTTTGCACAACAATAAATGTTTTGTCTTTGTGTCTCGATACTGCATACAAACTAGTACAAATGTTTATGTAAAGGCATCATTTATATATTTATCTGAAATGGAGATGAGTCATCCTCCAATGAGATGCATTTTTTCCGTCTAAGATGGCTGGAGACGAGGAATAAGAAGAAGGGGAATGAGGAAGTAAAAATGTTTTTAAGATGGATTAAGAAAAGAAAAAGTATTCATACAATGGATGTATAATTAACACAGAGAGTCTGCAGTTTGCAGTCGTGAAACTTCCTAAAATGCAAAAAGAAATGGTATCATCTCTCAAAGAATTTCCACTCTTACAATCCAAAAACAAGACAGCTGATTACTTACGTCCTATCAGCCGTAGACAGCAGTGAAGATAAGTAATGACTCGCTAGAAGTGGGCATGAATGGACATGGATAGAATTGATTAAGTGTTCTTTCTGTTTGTTGCAAAGTGTGAGGGAATGCACATCTTAATTTGTTGTGTTGCAGAGGTAATACCTCAGCAGTTCTTTGACTATATCACAGGTGTTTTTCCTTATGGAAAATGATAAAGTCTGTGTATAGCCTTTGAAAATGAATGTTTACTTATTGCATTTTCTATCCAGACTGAAAACACACATGTTCGAGAGATGTAAAAGAAAGTTCACTTCACTAACGTTCTTTAGCTTATATGTGTTTTATGGCAAATGTTAGGCCATTGTATTGATTGGAGAAGTGTTAGAAAGTCAAAAACAAGGAGTCCGTCTTTATAATAGTTATATGAATATGGTCTTGATTTTGTATTGTATATTTATATATTTTGATTGTTCTCTCAGAGGTTTTTTGTTTGCTTTTTTTCATTCCAAAAATCTTTATATATCCAAAACAATCTTCAATCATAACATTATTAAAATATTACACTGCTACAATACTGTTCATCTGAAGGACTTTTCATCGATTAAGTTTTTGAAATGGCCCCCAACTTAAATGTTTTTACCACAAACACAAACACATACGCGTGACGTAATCACGTCGTGGACGCTCGGTTGATGACGTAATGCGCAAAAAACGTAACATTTACGGAAAAAGTACCCAGCAGCCGCCGCAGTTAGCGGGGTTTTGTCTTGTTAGTCAAGCTACGTTTTAAATACACATTAATTCTTTTTTTTTTTAATCAAAGGTACGTTTTAGGTTATTATTCTCTTATTCATATCTAACGTGTAAAGTTCCATTGTTTCCCCTTTCAGACTTTTCCTTGTCATTTCAAGCTCGCTAGCTAGCTGTAAGCTAGCCGTAAGCTAGCGTTAGCTGTTGTTGTTTACTGCACATTCCCACCAAACTATGAGCAGAAATCCCGATTTATCTGGATGTTAACTAGCTATTCGTCACTCTCACTGGCTCTTATATTAAGCTTAAGTCCATTGTGTGCTTTTCAGCTTGGGATCTGACTGCTTGTGAATCAAGATGTCGTACATGCTACCACATCTCCACAATGGCTGGCAGGTGGACCAAGCCATCCTGTCTGAGGAGGACCGAGTCCTCGTGATCCGCTTCGGACACGACTGGGACCCCACGTGTATGAAGATGGACGAGGTCCTCTACAGCATCGCTGAAAAGGTTTGATTCGTGTCTGATCCAGTCTACAATCCGTGTGTGTGTGTGTGTGTGTGTGTGTGTGTGTGTGTGTGTGTATGTGTGTGTGTGTGTTATAACATTAGCCACCCACTGCTATCTCAACTGAACTCTTTATTCCAGAGAGAGAGGCAATCCTTAAGATTTAAGTCCTGGTTGATTTAGAATGTTTTTAATGTAAACAATGGAAGTGTGCTTGAGTTTAGCAGTCTGGTGATTAGAGGAAAGTTACTGATCAGAATCTAAATCCTGCTTTGATATTAGTTTGTTACTCAGGAACATCTAAAGTTTCCAGTCATGTGTTCAGTCATTTTATTGACAGCTGTGATTTGCCCTCACATTCTAATATTACACAGCGTCACTTCACTCTCAGTGCCAAACATCTGCATGTCCCTCTTTTTTTGAGTGGAAATATATGTATTTTTTTAAATTCAGTTGATGTCAGCAGTCGCTGATGATATTGGAGATTATAAATATATATTTCTGAGTTAGCAGGACCGTGGTGCAGCTTCAGTGTGTTTCTTAATTAGGCTGTTTATGGTCTGAACTGTTTTAACAGCATGTCAGTGATCGGGTTTCATTGTACTAGATCGTTGAAGAAGCTGAAACAATGCCACTGAAATTCTGTTAAGCCAAGTTTCATGTCTTTGAGCTGTATATTTTATATATTTTTCATATTGAGTTGCAGCTGTGTTTTGTCCCCGTCGGATTAAAGCTAAACATTTAAAATGTAATGTATTCTAATACACAGTCAGGTTCCTCCACCTTATCAGCCTTTAAGGAAATGCAAATCTGGTTCCTTATCGATACTCTTATCGGTTGTTTTTGATTATTTTGTGAAAGAAAAGAGACAATTAATTTGAAAAAATTTGCTTTATTATTCATATGTAAACAAATAGTCTTGAACGGCAACAGCAGAAATGTTTAAATGACTTACTATTGTTGACTATACAATTTTAATGCCAACATCAATTTTAAATAAAAAAAAACATCCCTACAGGGAGGATATTTATTATTTATTATTATTTTTTGTATATTTGGAGTTGAGAGCCAGAGGTCATGGCTGCAGACTCAGCCCGACAATCTACAAGAAGTTCCCAAATCCTTAAAATACAGTCGCCGCTCAACAGTTAGCTAAGCGATTAGCTTTCATTGATTAGCCTCGCTAACGTTACTTGCAGTGGATGAGGACGGACGGACTGTAGATTACTGAGCATTTCTGTTCTGCGTGTTCGCTGAATGTTGCGATACATTGCTGGTATTTCCTCCCTTACTTTTGAGGGTTTTATTGCATTCGAGACGACAGTTATCAACATTTACTGGCGTAGACTTTAGCAAGTACCGATAACAGAACTGTTAACTCCGGACCATATTGATCCTCCGGGTATTTACTGCCGTCTTGTCGGTTCCCGTTTAGAACCGGGTATCGGGGGGGCATCCCTAGGTATCAGTGCGCCATTGATTTAAGGGTTTTTCACTCACCGTGCACAAGCTTAATTTAAAATTGACTGAACAAAGTCCTCCATATCAAACATATTAATAAACCTTTAGAAATGCTTGCCGGTGATATTCAGTCGTTGGGACAATCAGGAGCAGTTTCGGGGTTTGACCTCAGCTGATGGATTTTGCAGGAAACAAAATCATGCGAGGATCCTTTTCTGCAATGCTGTAAATTGTTTTTCTCTTGTGCAGATTTATATTGTCTGCTAATTGCATGTGAAGATTCATCACTATTTTCATCGGTGTTCACTGCTCCTGGCAGTTTATTGCTGATTTTACAGCCGAGATTCCCGTCACAGTCTGTTGCGTTGGGGTGTGTTGCTCTGAGTCAGCAGTTTGTAGACATGCTGCCCGAAAGCTATAAAGGCTGTTAAAAAGCTGAGGCATTGCAGTAACTTCTTTAAAGATGTAAGTTATACTATTTCTGAAGCCCATTTTTCACACTAGTGCACTAAAAGGTGAGGTAGGCAAAGGAGGTTTGTGGCAAACATGTATAGCACAAGTTCATATCTTATGTATTATTATAAACGGCTTTTACATCCAGTCTAATCCAAATGTATTTATAAAGCACATTTAAAAGCAACAACATTTGGCTAAAGTGCTGTTCAATCAAAACATAAAACAACCAAATAAACAGACCAGTTGAACAGACAAAAGGATAATAAAATGATGAAAGCATTGAGGCGGCTCTCATTCTGAATTATACGGTTTGAAGAACGGGCAGTGTGCCTAACATGCAGAGGCAACATTGTTCCAGAGTTTGGGGGCTGCAACTTTAAAGCAGCGATCTCCCCTCAGCTCCAGCCGTGATCTCGAGACAACCAGAAACAACTCGTCAGCAGACCTGAGTGACCTCGCTGGGACGTGTGGTTGTCAAAGGTCGGAGAGAGAGAGGCTGGAGCCCATTTAATGATTAGTAGACAAACAATAAAATCTTAAAATCAATCCTAAAGCGTAGAGGCAACTAGTGAAGGGAGGGAGGGGGGTATGTCCTCTTGCTTCAGTGTTGCTGTTAAGAGAGGAGCTGATAAACAAGTGTCACGGGGGAAAAACCCAAATTCTGACGTGTGCGGTAGTGTGAGCTAGCAAAGCTGGTACTGTCATCAAGTTGTCCAAGAGAATTGTTTAGTTGAATCCAGAAACGAACCTTTCCCTGTTGTGTTGCTCTGCCTGTAATGCTGAATATTGTTCATAATGATACATTTATGTTTTACTAATTGTCTCAATATTCTTCTTACGTACGTCCCGACAGGTGAAGAATTTTGCAGTCATTTACCTGGTGGACATCACAGAAGTGCCCGACTTCAACAAGATGTACGAGTTGTACGACCCCTGCACCGTCATGTTCTTTTTCAGGTAAGACGCTCAAAGTCTGATTCTTAAAACCTCAGAGCTCATGTTGCTTCCTGTGATTTAAATGAACCCGGTTGCTGTACGAGGAGCGTCTCTTATGAAGCCTCCTGTATGTCATTGTTGAGGATTTACTGTTCAACTTCAGAACTTCATGTTGTTTTTTGCAGGAACAAACACATCATGATTGATTTGGGTACTGGTAACAACAACAAGATCAACTGGACAATGGAGGACAAGCAGGAGATGATAGACATTGTTGAAACGGTGTACCGGGGAGCCAGAAAGGGAAGAGGTCTGGTGGTGTCTCCGAAGGACTATTCTACAAAATACAGATATTGATTTCTTTATTTTTTATTCAATTTTTTCGAGGAGTTTTTTGTGACATGACACACAGACTACAAATGCCAAAAGTCATGGAAGATCTCTTTCAACATTTTTGTTTTTGCCGGTGAAACAGGACGATACTCTTATTAACGGCCATGATGGTGTTACGTTTGTTGTGTTTTTTTGTCTAGACTGATGTGTAATACAGTTTTTTTTCAACAACAAGTTGTGTTTTTACAAACAACTCATTTCTGGGAAACAGGTGCTCAAGAAACCAGACACGGAGTAAAATTCCTCGTACTTTAATGTAATAAACGTGGATATTTACATATTAAAGTCTATTGCTGTAGGTCCTTTCAGTTTCTCCAATCCGTCTCTTCAGTGTGACTCAGTGCATTTCCCTAAAATGTCCATCAGGTGGAGCCAGAGATGTTTGGCAGCGTCTCTGAAGATGTTCCTGTAATACTAAAGACTCAGTTATTTACCTGATTAGATTACTTTAGGGAATTCCTTCATCAGGGACTATGTACACATACCATAAAGAGATGGTCAACCACAAAATCTAAAATGCATATCTCTACTCTTACCTGTACTATCTATCAATAATCATTGTTTTTTTAAACCAGTTCAGGCTTTTATTGTTTTTACACTAGGCCTCTCTCTTTGTTTCCTCACATGGTGAAGTCCCAACAATACTATACTCTGACTTTTAAACAAACTAGATGACGACATTTTTAATAACTTTTTTCCTATACTAGGACTTTTTCAAATTATGTTTTTCAACTTAATATGCACCGACTGTCTTTTTATGACATACTATGACTTATGTTTTTGTTTTTTATGGCACACTTTGCCATGGTTTTTTTCAGCATTCTATACTATGACATTTTTCTTCTTACTATACTTTGGCTTTTTTGATATATCATACTATGACTTTTGACTTTTTTTGACATACTATACTTTCACTTTTCATGAATTTCTTTGACATATTATAGAATTACTTTTTCATGACTTCTTTTTTGGTGAGAGAAATATCAGTTGGTAAGTCTGATTAATATTGAGCCACCTCTTGCAGCTCCTTATAACCAGAAACCACACAGTGCTTGGGAGACAGAGTCCAATTTGATGAAGGGGAAGAGGGGGGATGGCTGAACAACAGCTGGCTGCCGAGAGGAGGCCGATAACTGCTGTGGCTGCTGCAAAAGCAAAATACTCTGACCACACTTGGCTGCTCTTGAGTAAAAAAACCACAATCTCTAAAATGTAACTTTTTTGGGAACCAGAAAAAAACAGTTTTTAGGTTGATTGCATTTCTTTTATTAAAGCATAAAAATATAAAAGCTAGCGTACAGTGACCTCATTGTGCTAATGTGTGTACACTGGCAGGCATGAGTGAACAGTTCAAAATAAAATAATTTCCTCATCGTTCTTTGTGTGTGGACCATGTTGAGGACCTATAGACATCGCCTCCGGGCGTCCCATGTCCTTTCCACTTACATGAACCTACAGTCTGGCATGCTTTTGTCTTTGTCTGGCCCGTCCCTGCAGGGCCTTTGTACACCATTACTGTACCATTGGCCTCATATGGAGTGCAGGGCCACAGGCCGCCTCCATTGGTCCATTATAATTCATATTATCATGCATTGTTGTTCCCTATTACTGTTAATCAGCTCAGCCTCGGGGGGGAAAGGAGAGGTCTGGACAACTAAGAGTTACTGGGAAACTCCAGTCTCGACGCATATGGAGACGTGGCGGGATGAACAGTACGGTACAGTCAGTGTCTGTGTGTGAAGAGAGAAAGAAAAAGTGTTCTGTTTTTCATATATGTAGACCATATAGGTAATAAGCACACTGCCCCTAAAGCTGTGGTAATCCCAGATCTGTTTTCAGCTGATAGTGTTTAAATGGTTCTGCACAAAGAGGGTGCAGCAGACAGGCAGTGAGGATCATCTGGTGCCAGGGGGAAGACATGCTGGCATACCTCCATCTTCTCGGTCTTGCTTTCCTCCCTCCTCCTCTTCTAGTCTGTCACTTTCCATGTGGGTGCCCAGCGTGGGGGAAGGGTGAAGGGCAATTGCCAATTTCTGGGACACCACACCCCCACCGCTGCAGCTTCCCCTATTGCCACTAATACAGACGCACACATATGCACAAACAATTGTGTTAACCCTTTCCCTTTTCCCGGTAACTGTAACTGTGGTCACTGCGCCTCACATCCAACTGTGCGTCACATCTCATTTTGAGCCAAAGGCTTCTCACAGTCAACCTGTGACTCATCACCATGGGTAAGTCAATGTTGCCTTTTTGGCTTGTGATCCCTAAAACAAAGTTGTGGACCCCTTGTTATATCTCTACACGTGGTTGCCAATTCAAATAGCACCAATTAAATACTTACTGCGTACAAAGGTGGAGTAAATAAGGGGAACAAATGAGACCTACAAATAAATTACAGTGCCAGTACTTTGTTTTAATTGCCTGGTATATTTAGTGTAAAGGAAAGGGACCAGCAGGCTTACGGAGGAGATACACCAAATCCAAAAACTCTCATTTCACAGCTGAGCAGTACACTAAAAGATGTTTCTGAGAACATTTGAGGGGAGAAATAGGCAATGCAGTAACAAAATATTGATTCATGTTTAATCAGCGTTGGCTAGTTCGACAGTTTGATCTGACTTTTGAAAGCCATGGTGCATGTTTGCTACAGCCGGTGGCTTTTCTGGAGGTTAGAAAAAGAGCATTTACTGTTTGTTTTTATTATTCAAAATGGTGTTAACGCTTGCTACTTTCACATTAAAAGAGCCTTTTGTGTTCATATGCATGTATAGAGTCATTCTGTCAGCAAATCTCTAACTTTGTCGATCTGTGAAATCTTTCCTGCATGTCCTTTAAATTGCTCATCCCATAAACTCCATCTCTCCTCTTGGGTTATATCACAGTCTCTTTACATAACCGGCACTCCAGAAAGAGCTATCGAGATTCATCTCTCCCGCAACATTTTTCAATCCCTAATTCCTTCAAAGGGAATGCCCATTGAGCAACACGATGGAGCGATGTGAGGAGATAGTTCACATGTTATAAATTCTGAGAGGAGACATGGTGAGCAAAAGGCTTATCTTCAAACTCCTTCTCGATCAAGATCCTATGTATCCATCTGGTCTATTTTCTTATAAGATCTGCTCAGTTGTGTGGGCTTTACTGTGGGTTTGGGTTTTGTCCCCCACGGGGGGAATTACTCCGAGTAAATCAAGTAGAGCCATCAGGTTGGTACAGATTAAGAGCAGATGTTTCCTTCTGATAATATGCTGAAACAAACACACACAAACCTAACAACCCCTTGCCTGCCTCCTTTAGATGCTGACACACTTAGCAGCCGGGTGTTATGTTGGTTTAATTCCCTTCTCTTCCCCTCCTTGCGTCTGCTTTTCACTCCACTTGGGGACCTGTGACTAAATGGATTTGCATCTCTCTTCCAGCATCATTCCCAAAGGGGTGTCATCCCTCCATCGGTGACAAATTGGGGGGTCCGTTTAACTAAACGGAGACAGATACCAGCGCACAGAGAGGTGTGTTTATGCAGTCTGTGGCACTGCTGACGCTGAACAAACACACATGGATCACATGAGGCCCCTCGCTCTACGTGTTCACCTCCATTCATGGCAGGCGCCGCCATTCAGAAGCTTCAGGCCCAATTAGCACCTGCCCAGTCCTCACAGTCAGACCAGGCCTCCTGCTACACAGGAGGTGTGACGCTGAGAAATGCTCCAGCTGAACCAACACACACACACACACACACACACACACACACACACACACACAAAATTTAGTTTTTCCCCTCTCACACATTTTGTATCTGTTCCCGGTCACTTGCACAAGAAACCAAGACTCCATACCCTCCCACACACACACTCTGTCACACGCCACACTCATACAAACACTGAACTTTGTAACTGAAACTGATCATGCACATTAAAAAAAAATGCTGTTTTTAAAATGAAGTGTGTTTATCTTTTGACATGTCAACGGGCTGCATATTTCACATCAAAGTCTATTTCCAGGTATTGGGAGTAGTACTGTAAATAGCTACTGCTACTAGCATAACACATCCGAATCTCCAACCGAATTGTAAGAGGTCAAGTTGCATTGTGGGTAATGTAGGTGCCGGGTTTTTAAAAGGAAGAAGACTGTGTTGAATCAAAAAAAAGTATAGCTCTGGTTCTGCTGCATCGATTATGACTTTTACAATGTTATAGAAGAACATGCTAAATGTGTACAGTACTCTTAAGTACATTTGATGGAGTACCTAATATTGTGTAATAATCTTCATTTTTGTACTCTTCATAGTTTTCTTTTCTCAGTTCAAACCAACTCCTTTTGTTGCCCCTGGCAATGCCTCTTTTAATTTATTAAAGTGAGATTAAAGGGTTAATCCACTGATTTTACACTCGATTAGCAGTTGACTCGTCATTGGGAGTACTTCTGTGAAAACGATTGTATAATGTCTTCTGTGGCTGCGGAGGAGCTTTGACTTCAAACTGGAAATGCAGAGTTTGAAAGATGTAGACATTTACAAATGAAAAGACAATAGTTGCATTATGGGAAGAGTAGGACCCATCATTAGGATTACATTGATTTTCACCATTTTATTTGTCTTTGTCCACCAACTTCATGTATGTTTAAAATCTAAACTGCCAGTGCACCCCTTTAATATCTTAGGTCAGTATTGGCCTTTTACTAGAAATTGCACATGACCACATTTAATGGATGCAAAGCTTTTTCTTTAATTGCATTTTGTACAACTGATCAATACTTTATTGATGGTGATTGAAGCAGCGCTTAACCCAAATAGACTGTAAAGTGACATGTGATCACCCGATGGAATATATATTTATGCGAATATGATTACAGGACATATGATCACTGTGATGATCGTGACGAGGACGAACAGGATGTCGGTGATTCAATAACGATGACGCTGACAACAGTCATTGTTGTCAACACTGATGCTACCGACAGTATTAGTGCAGATGGAGTTTCTGAGCACTGCTTCCAGCCAACAAGCTAATACATTTTTCTGTGTCAGCTACTGTGGCTTGCTGACATGACCTTTGGGGATAACAAATATCCTCCACCGGGATGAAGCTTTTCTGCATTTCAGAGTTATATCGCAAGGAATAAGGAAAAGGCTAACATTTTAGAATGCAGGTTCTAGAGCCAACGCCTCCAGTGTACATGTTGAGAGTTTTATGCAACAATATTAGCATTAGTGAACATGATGGATGCATACTGTTTATGCATTTATGTAGTTCATTTTATGAATGGTTAATGTAACAAGTGCTAAGATGTGTGGTCTGCATTAGCCATGCTTCTTTAAGTGCTCGGTGCATTGATCAGCTTTGCAGACATTATCATTACGTTGGATATACGATCATGATGGGTTTTGGAGGAAGGATTCAAAGTATTATGGTCTAAATGCTGTTTTGCTGTTTTTGTCTTTCCAAAAATAACATTTAGAAAATTACAAATATCTTATATTCAGAATATAAATCAACTGTTTCTGATACAATTAACCTCGGTTTCAAAAGATAGTCCGTCCGTTTCTTTGTAGGTTTTTCACCCTTCAATGACATGAAATTCAGGGAGCAAAAGTAGAACTTGAAAATCGATGCAACAAAATATGCTTCTGAACTCCTCCGTTGAAATCACACGATCCCCATCGCCCTCTCTCCCTGGCCATCTTCATCCCTCCTCATCCCTCTTCACAGTAAACTAATCTCTGCTCCTCTACCTCATCTTTCTCTCCTCCTGCTCGAGCCACCGTCCCCCTACCTGTCTGCCTGCGCTGGTACGGCCCCCTTTGTCTGCCTCTGTCAATGCATTTTGCCCTTATAAGGAGAGAGCACAGGCAGACTGTACTAACCGCGTGAGCTCAACGGGGGTGTTGCCGTGGCAGGGACACCACAGCGATCTGTAACGGCAGGGTGAGATAGGAGGAGGATGGAGGAGAGTGGATTGGGGGGTGGAGGTGTGGAGCTTCAGCACTTCTATCAATGACTCTAAATAAGACGACGGAAATAGGCATAGGGGAGGAGGAGGTGGGGCGACGGAGGAGAGGCTGCAGATTGGAGAGTGGCCGGCGAGGAGAGGCAGGTGAATGTATCTGTGAGTGAATGTCAGGTTGAGGCACTGTTACTAAGTCACAGAGCACTTCCCGGCAACATTTAACTTCCATGTCAAAAAGCCAAAGTCGGCCCACACTGACAATATACATTTACAAAGCTCTCATTTTCTCAACTCTGACGCCGCGCGTAGTGTGTCTGCATGATGCCAGCTCACCAGCTGCCCACATACTCTTCGATATGGAGGGCTAACATTTAGCTGGTGAGAGTCATGGAGGGAGAGTGTGGGCTTCAGTACGGACGTCTGTG